GAGAATAGTCACACTAGAGAATTAACAGCACAACTGAAAGATCTAGATCAAAAAGAATCAAAACTCATCCCAGAGGAGTACACACCAGGAAATAATCAAATTGATGGCTGAAATCAATAAAATAGAAAAAAAGAAAACAATACAAAGAATCAATGTAACAAAAAGTTGGTTATTCGAGAAAACCAACAAGATAGCAAACCTTTATTCAAACTAACCAAAAGGCAGAGAGAACATGCAAATTAACAAAATCAGAAATGAAAAGGGGGACATAGCAACAGACACTGAGGAAATCCAGAGAATCCTCAGGTCACACTTTGAAAACCTGTACTCCACAAAATTCGAAAATTTAAAGGAAATGAACAATTTCCTGTATAGATATCACTTACTAAAATTAAATCAAGAACAGATGAGCAATTTAAATAGACCTATCACCCCTAATAAAATAGAAACCGTCATCAAAAGTCTCCCAACCAAAAGAAAGCCCAGGGCCAGATGGTTTCAGTGCAGAATTCTATCAGAAATGCAAAGAAGAACTAATGCCAATACTCCTCAAACTGTTCCACACAACTGAAGCAGAGGATCATTGCCAAACTATTTTTACGAGGCTAAAATTACCTTGATACCCAAGTCACACAAAGACATAACTAAGAAAGAGAACTACAGACTGGGCGTTGGTGGCGCACGCCTTTAATCCCAGCACTTGGGAGGCAGAGGCAGATGGATCTCTGTGAGTTTGAGACCAGCCTGGTCTACAAGAGATAGTTCTAGGACAGCCTCAAAAGTCACAGAGAAACCCTGCCTCAAAACCCCTTCCCCCAAAAAAGAAAGAAAAGAAAGAGAACTACAAACCAATATCCCTCATCAACATTGATGCAAAAATATTCAATAAAATACTGGCAAATCGAATCCAAGAACACATCAGAGAAATCAACCACCATGATCAAGTAGGCTTCATCCCAGAGATGCAGGGATGGTTCATCAAATGAAATCTATCAATGCAATCTGCCATATAAGCAGACTGAAAAAGAAAGAAACACATAAGCCGGACGTTGGTGGCGCATGCCTTTAATCCCAGCACTTGGGAGGCAAAGGCAGGCGGATCTCTGTGAGTTCGAGGCCAGCCTGGTCTACAGAGTGAGTTCCAGGACAGCCTCCAAAGCCACAGAGAAACCTTGTCTCAAAAAACCAAAATAAAAAAGAAAGAAACCCATAATCATTTCACTAGATGCTAAAAAAGCCTTTGACAAAATTCAACACCCCTTCATGATAAAGGTCATGGAGAGATCAGGGATAACAGGAACATACCTAAATATAATAAAAGCAATATACAGTAAACCAACAGTCAACATCAAACTAAATGGACAGAAACTCAACACGATTCCTCTAAAATCAGGAACAAGACAAAACTGCCCATTCTCTCCATATCTCTTCAATATTATACTTGAAGTTCTAGCTAGAGCAATAATACAACAAAAGGAGATCAAGGGGATACAAATTGGAAAAGAAGTCAAACTTTCACTATTTGTAGATGATATTATAGTTTACATAAATGACCCAAAAAACTCTACCAAGGAACTCCTACAGCTGATAAACACCTTCAGCAAAGTGGCAGGATACACGATTTACTAAAAAAAAAAAAAAAAAAAAAAAAATCAGTAGCCCTACTATACACAGACGATAAACGGACTGAGAAAGAAATCAGAGGAACATCTCCCTTTACAATAGCCAAACAACATAAAATATCTTGGGGTAGTTCTAAGCAAACAAGTGAAAGAACTGTATAGCAAGAACTTTGAGTCTTTAAAGAAAGAAATTAAAGAGATACCAGAAAATGGAGAGATCCTCCATGCTCTTGGACAGGTAGGATCAACATAGTAAAACTGGTTATCTTACCAAAAGCAATCCCCATCAAAATACCAAACATTTCTTTACAGACCTTGAAAGAGTAATACTCAACTTTATATGGAAAAACAAAAGGCCCAGGATAACCAAAACAACTCTGTACAATAAAGGAACTTCCAGAAGCATCACCATCCCTGACTTCAAGCTCTATTATTGAGCTTTAGTCCTGAAAACAGCTTGGTATTGGCACAAAAATAGGTAGACCAATAGAATCGAATTGAAAACCCTGATATTAACCCACACACCTACGAACAACTGATTTTTGACCAAGAAGCTAAAATTATATAATGGATAAAAGAAAGCATGTTCGACAAATGCTGCTGGCATAACTGGATGCTGGTGTGTAGAATATTGCAGACAGATTGATGTCTACTGCCATGTACAAAACTTAAGTTCAAGTCGATCAAAGACCTCAGCATAAATCCGGTCACCTGAACCTCTTAGAAGAGAAAGTGGGATGTACCTTTGAACGAATTGGTACAGGAGACCACTTCCTGAACATAACACCAGTAGCACAGACTCTGAGATTGACAATTAATAAATGTGACCTCCTGAAACTGAGAAGCTTCTGTAAGGCAAAGGACACAGTTAACAAGACAAAGAGGCAGTCCCCAGAAAAGATATTCACCAACCCCACATCTAACAGAGGGCTGATTTCCAAAATATACAAAGAACTCAAGAAGCCAGTCACCAAAACACCAAATAATCCAATTAAAAAGTGGGGTATAGAATTAAATAGAGAATTCTCAATACAGGAATCTAAAATGGCTGAAAGACACTTAAGAAAGTGCTCAACATCCTTAGCCATCAGGGAAATGCAAATCAAAACAGCTCTGAGATACCATGCATGTCAGAATGGCTAAAATAAAAAACACCAAGGACAGTTTATGCTGGAGAGGATGTGGAGAAAGGAGAACACTCCTCCACTGCTGGTGGGAGTGCAAACTTGTACCATCACTTTGGAAATCAGTATGGTGGTTCCTCAGGAAAATGGGCATCAGTCTACCTCAAAATCCAGCAATTCCACTCTTAGGCTGGGTTTGGCAATTGAGACTCAGGTCTTCTCGCTTGAAGAGCAAGTGCTCTTACCCATTCGTTTACCTCTCACATAGGTGTAAGCTGCCATGTGGCATTGGGATTGCTGAGAGCATCACGGCATTCAGGGAAAAGAACCTTAAGGAGGTGAGGCTGAAAACTCAGTTCAGCCTGACTTAGTCAGCTAGGCTAGATCAAACTTCTGGAGGGTCTGATGCCGGATGGTTTACTGCCAGCATATTTAAACTCAGTACAATTTGAAAAAAAAAGTTTCCTAGTGTAATACAATCCCCAGTGCACAAGAAGACATAATTACATCAAAACTCAACTCAAAATACATGTCATTTATTCCAAGAAGATGGGTTTAGAGAGAAGTTACCTGTATTAGCTTAAGGCCCTCAGATCTGGTGTGATCTCTGACTGAGATAGCATAGAGGCTATCTCAGCGAACAATGGCTTTTATTAACTGGGAGCTAAAGATAAAGGTCTAAGGAGAAAGTCTGGGATAATCATTCTGGGGGACTTGGGGGAGATCTGGCTCTATAAATAGCAAAGGTTGCCAGGTCACTAACAACACCCACTCGCAGCTTTCTGAATGGAACGGTGTTTTCTTTCCTCCACGGAAGAGACAACGCTTCTTCGGTTTAACATTCTTGATTTCCCTAGTTCTTATCTGTGACTACAAGGACCTTTGTGCTTGGACTTCCAGCACAATATGGGTGCTGGAAACTGAACCTAGGTCCTCTGGAAGAGCAGTCAGTGCTCTTAATTGTGGAGCCATCTTTCTAGCCCGACATTTTAGAGAACTTTTTATCTTGACATGGCTACAGACTTATGAAACGTAGAAAAATATGAGCCCATAATGGCTCCAGCAGGCAAAGGAGTCTGTATGCAAGCCTCATAACCTGTGTACCATCCCTGGAAGCCACATGAAGGTGGAAAGACACAATGGAATCTGCGCCCGCCCCCAGCATCAAAAGTAACAAAAGCAGAAAATTCGCAGGGCAGTGGCCCACGCCTTTAATCCCAGCACTCGGGAGGCAGAGGCAGGTGGATCTTTGTGAGTTCGAGACCAACCTGGTCTACAAGAGCAAGTTCCAGGACAGCCTCCAAAGCCACAGAGAAACCCTGTCTCGAAAAGCGAAAAAAAAAAAAAAAACCCCCCAAAAAAAAAGCAGAAAATTCTTTGAAAACCGCTCTTATATGACTTCCTTGTGTTAGATAACTAAAGTACATTATCAAAACTATGAAGCTGGCATTGGCGTAACTGGACTACAAGCCTCATTTGGGCTACATCATCTTTTGCATATAAACTCATTTCTTTTTTTCTTTTGTTTGTTTTGGCTTTTGAGTCAGGTCTCACTATGCACTCCTGGCTGGCTTATAATTTGGTCAATTACCTAGACCAGGATGGCCTTGAATTTACAGAAGTCTGCCTACCTGACTCTGAAATGCTGAGAATTCAGGCCTGTTACACTAGGCCCAAATTAAATTCTGTAACTTTGTAAAATTTATCATTATAGTCCTGTGACCTAGGAATCCTACACACACACAAGATACAGCGCAGCTCCATTGCTGCAAAGAAGTTCCTGTGCTAGGCGCTCATAATGACTGCAGTTAACTAGATTTTCTCTGTAATCATTACAGGGAAACAAAATGGAGTGGATACATACATTGTACATAAGCTCTGGAATGCCTTTGAGGGACCTGTGAATTCCCTCTACCAATCCAGCACTTTTAAACAGTCTCACGTCATTTATGTTAACTTTGAACTATTTAGTCAAGGGCAGACTTGAAATCCTGATACACTGTCTACACTGTTTCCGTCTCTGGCCAGCTTGGATTAGAGTCTTTTGCCATTTTGCCTAATGCTTTTATCATGTAGTCATCCCTAATCTCCATACTGGGCTTGTTCCAACAGTGGAAGTTAGGCAGGCAATTCCGAACGTCTTTTTTTTTTTTTCTTTTCTTTTTAATGTGACAAGTATCTTCAAACAAATCTGCAACTTTCTGCTTGCTAACAAGTCATGACAAGTTACAAAACAGACTCAGACCACAAGTACCTGCTGCTCTAAGCTTCGCTTTGAAACCTGGGGCAAGGAGGGTGGCCGCTGCATTGCAGTAAAGACTGACTGGCGGCGTCATTCCTGGAGACTGTCCTCTGCACCCATTCGCTCCCACACTGCGGGTATATCTCTGCGTTGCCAACATTTCCCAGGCCTTAGCAAACTGGCCGTGCTCTAAAAGCCGAGGGTGTTGGAGACGGGGGCTAAGGAAACAGAGCCCATTCAGCAAACGACCCTCCATCCTCCTTCCCCCCCAACTTCAACTTCCCGGGGTGTTCTGCTGTTGAGTCCCGTTGTCCCTCACTCCTGGGCGAGTCTGCAAACATGTGTCCCCGGGAGACGCCTCAGGGAGAAACAAGTGCAGCAGCACAGAATTCCTAATGCAGCCGCACACAGCTTCCGTTCGGAACCGCTTTCCGCCAGGCCACGCCTGAGCCCCAGCAGCTGGGTGGCCCCGGCGACCCGGCTCCGCGCACGCGCCCTGGCAAGCCCCGGCACGGACGCCAGCGTCACCTCGCGCCGCCTCCGCCCTTCCTGTTTTCCGTTTCCTTCCCGCGCCTGCGCGGCTCCAATTGTTTTGGCTTTCCGGTCGGGGCAAAGGAAAAGGGCGCGGTGAGCCCGATGAAGGCGGGGTCCGGCCGCGGGCACCTGGGAGCCGGCGGAGCGGCCGCAGCAGCGGGCCAGAGCGCGGCGGACGCGGCGGGCGGTAGGCCGTGACGGCCCAACCCGGGAGGCGCGCGGAAGCGGGGGCGGAAGCGAGCGAGCGGCCCCCCGGGAGAGGCGGGGGTCCCCGCAGCGCCACGCCCCCGCTGTGCGTGCGACCGCGTGAGTGCAGCCCGGCGGAGTGGCGCGGTGAGCTGAGCGGCCGGAGCCGAGGTGAGACCGGCAGGGCGGGCGGGCGGCCGGCCGGCCGGCCTTTGTGGGCCCTGGCGGCGGCTTTCAAACCCGGGCGCTTCCGCCGAGCGCGCGGTGCTTCCGGCGCGGCCTGCGCGGGCCGCGGGACTCGGGGCGGCGTCCTACCGAGGCAGAGCTGTTTTGGCCCGCGCGTGTTGCTCGTTCGCGACGCGGCGGCCGACGACGAAGGGCGAGCGGGTCCTGGTTTTTTCCTTTTTTTCCCTCCTGGCCCCTTCGGCAGTCACCAAGCGAGACCCGGGTTAGCAGAGGTCCGGTTGCCCTCGGCCTGCTGGCGCTCTCCGGTGGGAAGCTGCCCTTTGAGACCTGTTTGCTTTAGACGGGAGTCGTGGGTTTGAACTCGTCCCTCGGCTCCTCCCGAGGACTCGGAAGTCCGCGGAGCAGACCGTGCGCTGCTGTAGGGCGGTTGCTTTGAGTTAGCGTGTGCGGCCCCCAGCCCCTGGCCTAGCAGGTTTAGGGTTCCTTTTTATTTTAAATGGCTACTTAAAGGAAACAGAATATTCATCCTCCGGGCTGCAGATCTCTAGAATTTCCTTGGCGGCCCCTCTCAGTTAAAACGACAAATTAAGATAATAAAACGGAAACGGTTTTGCTTTGTGAACAGCTATATCAGCTTTATTTAAAAAAAAAAGCGGGGGGAAGACCGTGCTGGTCACGTGTTGTTTATACATGAATCTGTAAGTCTGGCTCCAGGAGCAGACGCTGGGGAACGAACGCCCTATCGGCAGTGTGCTCCGACTGAAATGACATTTTCTTTCTGAGAGGCAACTAGCTAATACGTTTGTTTACCTTTTTTTTTTCCGTCCCCTCGTTTCTTTTGAGTTGTGAATGCTTCCCCAGATTTGAGTACTAGAGACCAGATCTTCTGCAGTTGAGGGAGTGCCTTCATTTAGCTGCGGCTAGGTAAAGCTCTTTGTAATCTAAGGTCCGTTTGGAAAGTCAGGTCAGTTAACTTCTCTTCCCTGTCTCTGTGATGTGGAATGTTGCTCTTCTTTCCGTCCGTCTGATAACGTTATGCCCTTCTGCTTTGCTCTTTTTGTTGGTCTAGAGCTTTTTTAAGGCCCTTTTAGATCAGGGCCGGAAATGGCAGCGGGTATATAACTCTTGGCAACTATGGCGTTTCTGCTGATGGTGCTTTGTAGCTCGTGTGTTTCCACAGCGTTATTTCCTCTCCAGATAAGTGCTGTACTTCTCCCTTTTATTTGCGTAAGAGCAGTACTGTAAAATCTGTTAACTTGATTTAGAGACCGGAAGGAGATGAGAGAAACAAAAGGCGTTATAGTGATTCCTGTGTTTACCATAATGAGCATTCCTTAGTGTTTATGCCTTGAATGTCGAATGAGTGTATTTCAGAGGTTTGTGATATTCCTAGAAACCGGACTTCTCCCGAGGTCGATTGTTTTACAGTGTAATGCGGGCTAGCACTACCATGCCATGTTCAATCCAGTCATTAAAGCAAAAAGATACCTGGTTTTCCACAGATTTGCTAGAAAACAGTTGGCCTGCCTTCCCAGCCACATTCCTAAGACAGTTGGGGCTGAGAGAATGATTGGTTTTGCTCTCCTGAGAAGTAAATAAAAATCAGAGAGCCAGTTACACGCCAGTCTTTCCCAGTTGTGCAGAGTTTGAATAAAGCATACTTACGTAACTTGGGCTGTTAAAGACAACAGGTTGGTTTCAAGCAGTCTTAGGTGTCTGAAGGATGTTCGTTTGCAGGAATTTGGAGTTCTTGGATTTTTTTTCGTGGGAAGGAGAGATTGTCGTGGGAAATTTGAAGGCCGTGTTTTCCATGGAAACTTTACTACACTCACTCATGTCAGTGACAGTAGTGGCGTGTGTAGTGCCTTCCATTGCAGACAGGGCTTCTAAGAACCTTACCTTTGTGATTCACTTGTTACTTTTTGCAACATTGGGATGCTGAGCAAGCACCCTAGTTTTTGTTACTGGGCTATAGTCTGAGCCCTTGTTTTTTTTGTGACAGGGTCTTCCTGGGTAGCCTAATGTCGGCCTGAGCTAGTAGGACTCACCAGCCTTTTGGGGGCATGCTCAGCATCACGTTTTTAGCTTTGTTTTTCTGTAAGAAAACACATTTTAGAAGTCATTATCAATGTTAAGGGGCTGTGTCCCTTGCAGCCATATGAGTGCTTGAGTATTTGAGATGATACTTACTTGAGATATTAATAATGACAAGTTGATTTAAGCAGCAATAAATGTACGAAACCATTCTTGGTTCCGTTGTGGTTGGAGAAACTGATCCAGAAAATGAAGTGTTAATGGAAAAGTTTTGCATCAGTCAAGCCTGCCTCTCCCTTCTAGAGACAATGGGTAAAGTGGAGACTAGAGGAGTAATAATCCAAATGCTGTCCTGTGCTCAGTTATCCTGTCACCAGCTGTTGATAACTTCCTGATCATAATAAGTTTAGGAGCTTGTCCTTATGCTTGAGTTTACATTAGTGTGTGTCGTTAACCTGATTGACCTGAAGTTTTGTTAGAGTAGGGGAAAGTGCTGAAACTTAAAATTTTAATAAATTCTTTAAAAAATAATAAAAAAACAGAATATCAGCCTTTTCCTCGCTCTCACTGGATTTCTTGTCTTAACTCCAGAAACTCATTTGTGTAGCATTTGTCATTTAAAGGTCAAGAGGTGAGCTACCATAATGGCACACTCCTCCAGCAATTGTCTTCCCCACCTCCCAGACTGGGTTTCTCTCTAGCTTTGGAACCTATCCTGGAACTTGCTTTGTAGACCAGGCTGACCTCGAACTCGCAGAGATCTGCCTGCTTCTGCCTCCCCTCTGAGTACTGAAATTAAAGGCGTTCACCACTACCGCCTGGCATCAATTGTCTCCATCTCCCCCCTACCCCAGCACCTGTAAGACAGAGGCAGGCAGATCTCTGTGAGTTGGAGGCCAACCTGGACAGCCAGGGTTGCATAACAAAATAAAACAAAAATATCTCAGCCAGGCGTTGGTGGCCCACGCCTTTAATCCCAGCACTCGGGAGGCAGAGGCAGGCGGATCTCTGTGAGTTCAAGGCCAGCCTGGTCTACAGAGTGAGTTCCAGGAGAGCCTCCAAAACAATACAGAGAAACCTTGTCTCGAAAAACCAAAAAAAAATCTCAATTTTTGGTTGTTTTGGTAACTTTAAAGGAAGCTGCTTCTGTCACCCTATTTAGTCCTCCCAAAGGAGTGACGGCTTTCAAAGATACTTGTTCAGTGACTTTGTTATCATGACTCTGGCTTTAATTTGTCTGCACTGCCATCAGCTATCTTAAGATGAATCTTGTTGGACTGGTAAATTTCATAGCATCAGAAAATTCAGACAGTCTGTACTTCTTAAAAACTCATTTCTCTTCACTAAAACACAACTTAGAGCTGAGCATGGTGACTTGTGTGTGTGCTGTTGGCATTGGAGAAAATGAGGCAGGAAGACCAGATCAAGGCTATCGGGAATTATATAGAGTTCTCCAGGACAGTCTGACCTAGAGTGAAACACTGTTTCAGAAATACCACAAGTTTTATCAAAAAAAGACAGAGCTGCATTTGGGATACTGTGACCTTGTAACTGGACTCTCTGGGGCTATTACCAGTGTGGAGATTAGGCCTTTGGGAAGGGGCTACAAAGTTTTGCCAGTGATTGGACTAATCAAAATTGTCCTCAATTTTGTGCAGTCTCACTGTAGCCCAGGGTCTTGGTTTCTCTTCCTCTGGCTGTGATAAAATGCCCCAGCCAAAGCAACAGAGGCTTTATTTTGGCTCAGAGTTCCAGGTTATAGTCCATTGTGGCTGAGAAACCACAGCAGCAGATTTTAAGTGCACTGGCCACATTGCATCCACATTCAAGAGAGAGACATTGCCAGTGCTCCGCTTCCTCCCTCTGTTGTGTCCAGTTAGGACTCCCTGCCAGAAAATGGTCTCATTCACAATTAAGATGGAGCTTGATGAGTCACATGAATTAACATAATCAAGATAGCCCTGGAACAGCAATCATTCCCAGAGGCCCATCTCCCAGGATTACTGTGTCATAGATTGTTAAAACTGTCTAAAATTTTGTAACATAACAACTGCAAAAACTGGAGAGGTGGCTCAGTGATTAAGAGTACCAGCTGCTCTTCCAGAGGTTCTGAGTTCAATTCCTACAACCACATGCTGGTTTACAATCATCTGTAGTGGGATCTGATGCCCTCTTCTGACATAAAGGTGTACATGCAGATAGAGCACTCATACATTAAATAAATAGATCTTTATATAAAAACAAACCCAAAACTGCAAACCTTGTTCACATTCTCTTTCTCCATTTATCTTTGAAAGACAGAGTCTCACCCTTAGTTCAAACTGGCATGGAAGTCTCTGTGCAGCTCAGGTGGCCTCAAGCTTGTGACCTTTCAAGTCCAGGGACTTCCGGGATCTCATCAAGCCTGTGCTTCTCTGCAATTTTATACTTCATTTTTCATCCACAACTCAGCTAATTGTTGATAGCTCTCATTTTCATGTTAGTTGTATGTATTCTGTACTTTATCCTCTCTCTGTCTTTCCTGGTTAGCATCTGAAAGTTTGCTTTGCTCTTGAAGGGTTTGCTGACAAACCTATAGAAATGAAAGCTAGATTTTAAAGTAGAATTAGGTGGCCACTCCCACTGTTATCATATTTTACACTTTAGATTGGTTCTTTGTGTAATATCAGTTTTTTAATTTATTGTTATTGCTTCGAATTTATGAGTGTTTGAGTAGTATTTCCTTTATGGAGATTGGCAGATAACTTTTAGGCATAGTTTGAATCTTGCACCCTGAAGACTTACATACTTGGGAGGATGGGTGCTTATTATACAAGCTAGACAATTACTTTTTTATGCTCTTAGAGCAACATCAAATGAACAGTTCAGACAACAAACATAAACCCCCTGGTACTGACCAGAAACTATGTATGGCATGTAGAGTGACTTGACAGTCTCTTGTCCTGACTTCATTTAATGAGTCTGTGTATTTGGTAAATGCCCTTTTTCTTTTTTCTTTTTAAAATCCTCCTGCCTCTGCCTTGAGTGCTGGGGTTATGGAAATGTGCTGGCTCTTTGTATAAATATATCTTTGTGTAAACTTAACACATCTTGTATTTTTCAAGTATATGTAAATATTGCTGTAGTTAATAATGGAAACGGAAAGCTTTTTTTTTTTTTTTTTTTTTTTTGGGTTTTTCGAGACAGGGTTTCTCTGTGGCTTTGGAGGCTGTCCTGGAACTAGCTCTTGTAGACCAGGCTGGCCTCGAACTCACAGAGATCCACCTGCCTCTGCCTCCCAAGTGCTGGGATTAAAGGTGTGCGCCACCAATGCCCAGCTCGGAAAGCAATTTTAAGTAGTTTTTGAACCGGATTATTATAAGTAATGGTTGTGTTCTTTTTCTTTTGTTTCATTTTTATACAGGGCCTCACTGTATAGCCCTAGCTGGCCTTAAATTTAGGATCTTCTTGTCTCACCCTCCTGAGAGCTGGTTTTCAGGTTAGCACCACCATACTCAGACAGTAGGGTTTTTGGTTTGGTTGGTTGAGGTTTGTTGTTGTGTTTTTGGACATGGGGTGGGTTTTGAGGGCTTAGGCTCAGGCATCGTTCTGCCTTGGCTGTTGACTGGGATGACAGGAGCTCATGTGTGCCTAGCTAAGTATATTTGAATCTGTAACAGCCTTTCACACATGTGTGTATATATCCAGGGGAGGGATGTCTTCCTTTCACTTTTAGGCTTAATTTTTTTGGAATCTTAATGAAGGATACTCATATATAAGGGAGAAACTGTTTCCAAAGTTCACTGAACCAGGAATAGCAGGGTTTGGATAGATAAGAAATGTTAGGTAAAATCCAGGTGTGGTGGCTCATGTCTGCAATCCCAGCACTTACTGAGGCTGGAGGTTCACTGTGATTTTGTGACCCTGTCTCAAAAGACCACCAATACCAACAAAACTCCAATTTTGAAGAAAAGTATAGCATATATAGTGTATACAAGTAAGGTTAACTAGAGATCATATTTAATTCTATTTTCAGTTATTTAAGGCTGTGCTTACTCATTGTCTTTATGATCTAAAGAGAAAATACTCTAATACAAACTGCCGGTGTATGTTTAGACGTAGCACCTATATTCACAGCACTCAGGAAGCTGAGGCAAGAATACCCTTGGCTAGCCTGAGCCACATAGTGAGGTCCAGCTCCAGTGTTAGAGTGCTTGTCGAGTATACAGGAAGCCCTGGATTTACATGTGGCACACCCCTGAAACTCCAGCTTGAATATGTCCTGAGACCCTTTCTAAAAAACAAAGCACACATAAACAACAAAAAAGTAGATTAAAACAATGGTACTTTTTTTTTTTTTTTGAGAATAGAGTTGTGTTTAAAACTAAAACTAAGGTCTGCGGTGGTGGTGCACGCCTTTAATCCAGCACTTGGGAGGCAGAGACAGAATGTATCTCTGTGAGTTCAAGACAAGCCTGGTCTACAAGAGCTAGTTCCAGGACAGCCTCCAAAACAACAGAGAAACCCTGTCTCAAAAAAAAAAAAAGAAGGGTTTATTTTGACTTACAGTTTGAGAGTGTAGTCCATGGGGCAAGAGTTGAAGCAGCAGTGCCGTTCTTCCTCGGGGATAATTGATCATCGGTCCACAAGGGTGGAGAGAACGGAAGTGGGAAACAGGGTTCAGAAACCTGTGTATATGTCCAGGAGCTGATTTCAGTGAGACAACTCAACTTCATTCCAGATATAGGAAATATATAGGACTGAGAAGACTGGGCACAAACCCTAATTTGTGTTAAGTGTCCTTCATGTTGCCACACTTGGAAAAAGCTGCCAGATCTTGGTAGACTGCAACCTCTGACCAACCTCTGACTAACAGTTGCAGTATCACCCCTCAGACAAGGAGCAGCAGGTACTGAATGCTGCTGCCCAGTGATCTTTCTCCTTTCTACTCAGTATGGGACCCCGGAACACCAGGTGTGCTATCTACATTTACAGTAGGTCTCTTCATATTATCTAGAAACTCCTTTACAGACATGCCCAGAGATTTGTTTTTGTGATGATTCTAAATCTTGTAAAATGACAAGCAAGATTAGCCATCATTAGTGATTGCCTAGTTATTCCAGTATTATTTGTTGAAATAATGGAGTCCTCTTTTTTGTTTGATTTTATCTTTCAAGACAGGATTTCTCTGTGTAGCCCTGGCTGTCATGGAGTTTGCTTTGTAGACCAGGCTGACCTCAAACTCAACAGAACTACCTTCCTCTGCCTTCCAAGTGCTGAGATTAAAGGCCTAGGCCACCACCACTCAGCTAACTAGTCTTAATTTGAAATCCCATGTTGATTGTGTCTGATTTCTTATGTGTACTTGGGTTTGTTGGTGGTTTATAATGCATATTAATGTTACACAGTCTTCAGAAGAAACTTGTTCTTTCTTCATTCAAGTATTCTGACAACTTAAGTTCACACATTGATTTGGAAAACATTATAATTGGTATAGTATCGTGTTTTTCTTTTAACAGTATGTTATTCTCACTTGGTAAGCATTTCTAAGAGAGAACACAATATAAAGAGGTAAATTACACATACTTCCCGTGTATAGTTTAGGGAAGAAGATGTGACTGAGCGGAGGAGTGCTTGCCTGGTATGTTATAAGGCTCCATGTTCTAGCCCCAGCTCCTCAAAACAACACACATGTTTAATACCTACATGTACAGACACATGTATACATTAGAATTTCTTAGAATTTAGAAATTAATAATTCTGAATCTAGTTGCTGTGTTGTCTTTTTTAAAGCTTTATCTATTAGACAGTGTTCTGTCTGCATGTATGCCTGCAGGCCAGAAGAGGGCACCAGATCCCACGTGGTTGTTGGGAATTGAACTCAGGACCTCTGGTAGAGCAGTCAGTGCTCTTAACCTCTGAGCCATCTCTCCAGCCCTCTCTATAGCCTTTGAATCTATAATGTCCAAAGTGTGCCGACCACCAGATAAGAGGGCATCTGTAAAGTACACTTGTTAATTTTCTGCAGCCTAGTTATTTTGAACGTTATGGACGTGAACAATTAATTTTTCTTCTATTTCATTTTTATGTTAATATCTAAAGTTGATTGAAACTTCATGTAAATGTAATATATGTTGAAAGGTATTGATTTAAACATTGTATTCTAAAAGCTTGATTTACATATTCTAACTGAACTTTTTTCTCTTTAGTACTGCAGAAAACCTACTGAACATACGATGATGCGACAAAATCTACCTCCTGTATTTTTCTCTTACTCATGAGCTGCACGGTTGCAGACTTGAGCAGGATGTTTGGAGAGTGTTGAAAAACTCTAGCGGAGGATGACCTAGCGCAGACTGTGAGCCTGTAACAAGATACTCCATGATTGTGTCAGTTCTGGCTCTGAATGCAACAGATAACAGCGGTGGACACCCTCCTTTATTTCTCAAGTATTCCTTGACCTTCCATCAAGACGGACTTTTCTACTCTGTTCTGGGAGATATTGATGGAATACAGTCATGTCCACTCAAGAGGAAAGGCAGATCAATACCGAATATGCTGTGTCCTTGTTGGAACAGTTGAAACTGTTTTACGAGCAGCAGTTGTTTACTGACATAGTATTAATTGTTGAGGGCACTGAATTCCCTTGTCATAAGATGGTTCTTGCAACATGTAGCTCCTATTTCAGGTAAGTAGTTGATCTAGTTTAGCTTGTAATGACAGTGTTACTTAAATTTCTTTATTACACTTTGTGGGCGTGGGCAGGTGCGCCCCAGAGCACATGGTGGGGAACAGAAGATAGCTTCCTTGCCAGACTTGGATCTCTCCTTCCACCTTCGTGTGGATTCTGAGAGCGGCAGGACTCGGGTCACCAGGCTTGCCTGACAAGCACCTAACCCACTGAGCCATCTCACTGGAATGACGCTCTAGCCATAGCAATTCCTTCATTAAATGTTAAAGTTTTTATTTTGCTTTTTTAAGATAAAGTCTTGCTGTGTAGCTTTGGCTGTCCTTGAACTCACTGTGGACCGGGCTGCCCTTGAACTCTCAGAGATCTGCCTGCCTCTGCCTCCTAAATGTTTTTACTCAGTACTTGGCAAAGCATTTCCTTATGTGTGTAAGGGACAGATGATGTTTTCTCATAAGTATTAAATACATGAAAATAGTTGAAATTGACCAAAGTTTTATCATGAGGGTGACAAAATTCAAAATACTGTTGTTGTTGTTTATTTCTTAAAAAGAAAAAAAATGAATAAGATAATTTACTTTTTTTTTAATAAGAGTTATACAACAGACTCATAACTTTTAGGAAATAATTGATGCTGTTTAGAACAAAAACATGTACCACCTTAAGGGAAACAACTTGACTACTATTATGCTTTTGGTACCCTCTCAGCCTTACCAGACTCCATGCAGTGTCAGTGACAGTGTTGGTGCTCTCTGTGTCTCAGAACGTGGACGTTTGTGTAGTTAGCTCATTCGAAATAATAAAATTCTCTTTTTCCTTTTTAGAGGAGAAAGAGACAGGATGAGTGAGATAAATTGAATGTGCTCTAAATGTATTCCTGCTACAAAAGAATTGTTACTGCTGCCTATTAGTAGCAGCAACCTATAAGCAAGGCAGACTAAATTGACTTTGCAGATTGATCGACATAAAAGTGAAGAGATGGCACATTCCTCGCAGGGCAGCATCACCAAGGGCCCTACTTGGCTGTGCAGTGCAAGCCACTGTGGTTTCAGTTTACGTTGTGGTTTTCATGCAGTTTCAGACACTGATTTTCCTTCCTGTTACAAAGCCTGTTTGCAGTGATCAGGCACTGTTTTACAAATGGAGATTACTGAATTTTTGGTGGCTATGAATGTGCTGACTTAGAACATACACATTAAAGAGCTTTTGCACGAGATGGTGAATGTGGATCTGAGGGTGAAACTCAGGTCACCAGACTTGTCCAACAAGCCTTAACCCACTGAGCCATCTCTCTGGCTGCAGTGATGTTATGTCAATAGGAATTCTTTGAAATGTTAAAGTTTTAGTTTTTTTTTTTTTTTTTTTGGTTTTTTTTTTTTTTTTTTTTACGAGACAGGGTTTCTCTGTATTGTTTTGGAGGCTATCGGTCCAGCCCGGCCTCGAACTCACAGAGATCCGCCTGCCTCTGCCTCCCGAGTGCTGGGATTAAAGGCGTGCGCCACCACCGCCCGGCAAGTTTTAGTTTTCTTAAGACGTCTTACTGTGTGGCTGTTCTTGATCTTATTATGTGACCGCAAGATGACTGTCGGGTAAAGACCCTTGCTTGCCAAGCTTAATGACCTAAATTCAATCCCTGGGACCCACAAAGTGAAAGTATAAACTAACCCCTCCAGGTTGTATGTTGGCTTCCACACATGAACTGTTACACACACACACACACAGAGAGATTAAAGTTTATATGACATAAAAGAATATGCTATTCGTACAGCCACAAAGTTAATGAAGAAAATAATGAAGCCGTAACACAGAAAATATTAATAGAAATTCTCTTGCATAGTTATCATTACTCTTACTTTTTTTAATAGTGCATCTAGAAAATCATGGTTGTTTGTAAATTGGAGAGTTATGCAACAGACTCAAATAGTAATCAAAAATAAGAATAGTGGTCTTCATTTTGTTTTTCAGACCCATTGTCTTAGCTGGTGGTAGAAATTCAGGGTTTTAGGTTCAGCAAATGAATACCTGAATTTATAAGCTCACTCATTGCAAATTGATGAGCCGTTATTGTTACAAATTAGCATCTGCATAGTCATGGAGGCCAGAAGAGGATGTTGGATCCACTGGAACTTGAGTCACACATGGGTTTGAGCTACCATATAGGTGTTGGGAACAGAATCCAGTTCTTCTGGAAAAGCAGTCAGTGTTCTTAATTAATGCGTCATCTCTGCACCCTGTAATTTCTTTCTTTAGCTTCCATGATTTCATGGGAAAACATGATTTTCCTAAAGTAACCACTTGTATGAGAATAGTCCAGTAAATGTGTATAATTAAAACTTCATATCATTAAGATATTGTGATTGGACTAGTTTTATAGCCACAAGAAGAAAACATGCTAATTTTTTTCCTTATGTATCTTTTCTTTGTACTGAGTAAATTATGGTATATGCCTTAATAATATATCTTTCTCAAATATTCTTAGCTGGATCCTGGCTTCAGAATTCAGGGGTGTGTGTGTGTGTTTAGGTGTGGTTTTTATTTATTGTTTGTAGGGGTATATATGTGTATAGATCACAACTCTCTAGTCTCAGACTTAGCCTCCCACATAAACCAGCTGTCTTAGAGTTTCTGTTACTACGATGAAACACCATGAATAAAAAGCAAACAGGGAGCCGGGCATTGGTGGTGCACACCTTTAATCCCAGCACTCGGGAGGCAAAAGCAGGCGGATCTCTGTGAGTTCAAGACCAGCCTGGACTACCAAGCGAGTTCCAGGAAAGCCTCCAAAGACACAGAGAAACTCTGTCTCGAAAAACCAAAAAAAAAAAAAAAAAAAAAAGGAAACGGGGAAAGAAAGGGTTTATTTGACTTACACTTGAGCATTGCATACAGAGGCTTTTTTCTCTTGTGCATGCAGTAGTATTCTATCAGGTAAGTATTCCTGTAGGTGAGCTGGCAAGATGGCTCAGCATTTGCCATCAACCCTGACAACTTGAGTAGGTTCTCTGATTTCACAGAGTTGGAGGAACAGAACTGACTCACAGAAGCTGTTCTCTGACCCCCCCACATGCACTATGGCCTGAGCCCTATCCTTAACACACTGTAGACATGCACAATAAATAAATGTAACACAATTCTTTTTTTTTTATGTACGCTTTTAGAAGTGTGAGCCTGGTGTGGTGGTGCACGCCTTTAATCCCAGCACTCAAGAGACAGAGGAAGGTAGAATTTATATAGCATAAAATCCATGCATTTTTAAGTCTTCAGTCAGTCCTCTGCAGCTTTTACCACATATTCAGCTGCAAATAGAAAATATTGTAATAACAAAAACCTTACAGTCTAGCAGCTCCTTACATGTATTTACATTGTTTGAGGTATTGCAAGTAGCCTCTGAAGGACTGGATAGGGCTGTGGTTCAGTGGGGGAAGAGTGTGTGCCTCTACACATGAAGTATCCTGGATTGATCCCTAGCACCACATGAACCAGGTATGATAGTGCATGTCTATACTCAGCACTGGAAAGAGGCAGGCGAATCTCAAGTTCAAGGCCAGCCTAGATAGGCCGATTCGTAGGGAGGGGGGGGAGAGAGAGAACAAACAAAAGATGTGTATGCTTTGGATAAATGTGCCTTGTTTTAAAAAGGGACTTAGTGTCTTTACTTTTGTGTGCTGAGGGTATCCAGGAGACATTTTACTTGGATTCCGAGGGTGACAGACTTGTGCTACCATTTCCAGTATAATTTAAAACATTTCTGTTACCTTCTGTTCGTTTTTATATAGTCACTTCTCAGTCCCTCTTACAGCTCTAGATAACTACCAATCAGCTTTCTGTCTCTGTATATTTGGCAGTTTGGAGACATTTCATGTAAATTAACTCATGTCTTTTGTTTCTGACTTTTTTACTGAGCATAATGTTTTTGAGGTTCATTTATTTATCAATACTTCTGTTTTGTTGCTGAATGGTATTCCATTGTGTGACTATGAGGAGTAAGTTAATTTTGATGTCCTCCCTCAGAATAGCATAGTGGTTATTGTCTTCAGCCCTGTTTATATATGATTTTCTCATTGCCTCTGAAAGTCTTCTCTATAAGTAAATACCCTGGATAAACATCCTGTTGCCTGGTTTGTTTTGCTCTATTCAGCTTGTTCTCTGTGTCTCCTGTAGGGCTATGTTCATGAGTGGACTAAGTGAAAGCAAGCAGACACATGTCCACCTGAGGAACGTGGATGCTGCCGCCCTGCAGATGATAATAACCTACGCATACACCGGAAACTTGGCGGTAAACGACAGCACTGTAGAGCAGCTTTATGAAACAGCTTGCTTCCTGCAGGTAAAGCGGCCTTTAACTGGCTATTGAGGTGTGGCTTATGTCAGCAAGCAGTATTTCATTAGTGGTATTTTTTTTTTTTAAGATTTGCTTATTTTTATGTGCATTTGTTTTTGGGGGATTTTATGTGTGTTTGTGTGAGATTGTTGGATCCTTAGTTGCAAACAGCTGTGAACTCACATGTAGGTGCTGGGAATTAAACTTGGGTCCTCTGAAAGAGCAGTCAGTGCTCTTAACCATTGAGCCATCTCTCCAGCCCCCATGCATTGGTGTTTGCCTGCATGTATATGTGTCTGTATGAGGTGCCAGGTCTCCTGGAATTTAGAGTTACAGATACTTGTGAGCTGTCATGGGTGCTGGGAATTGAACCTGGGTCCTCTGGAAGAGCACCTAGTGCTCATACCAGAGTCATCTTTCCAGGCCCTCATTCATGATATCTTTATCTGTACAGTTTTAATGCTTATATTATATGGATCAAATTTTTTGGTTGTAAAATGAAAAAATAGGATTTTCTCAGTTGTTAAATAGTTTTTTGACAGGAATGTAATTTTAAAAGTGTGTCAAGACAACAACCACATTGGTATAGAAACACTAAATTTATTTTTCCATTTATTCAGGGGTTCTTATCTGTGTGGGTTCTGTTACAGAAACTAGTAAATTAAAAATAAGTAAGCTGGGTGTGGTGGAACACACCTGCAATCCTAGTACTGGGAGGCTGAGGCAGGCAACCAGGCTCTGCACATACAGTACCTGACTTGAACTCGTTTTCATATTGGTTTCATATCTTGCCTAATGCACTTCATAATTTGATTTTAAGTTAAGTATTTGTTGAATTTAAGACTGCTTATGTTTAAAGGTTAAATTCATTAATGTATGATAGAACTCTCACAGACAAATTGAGATTGTTAGGGAAGACGTGATGGTAGTATGGGTTGAACTATATCTACTCAACTATTAAGTGGGTAAGTAAAATTGATGACTGATGTATTTTAGGATAACCAACTGTTCTGTATTGCTCAGACTCCCTGTTCAGATTTCAGTAGGAATATGGGCATTCCCATCCTCTCTTTCCCTGAATTGGAGTAATGCCTTGTACTTTGGGAACTGGTGTTTTCAGCCAGCTGTGGTGGCACCCTGCTGTGATCATAGCAGCTGGAGGTGGAAGAGGAAGGCTTGTTATTGGAGGTAACGCCAGGCCAGCTACGTGTAACAAGCCCCTGTCTCCAGCGTTAAACAGGCTTTTAGATCGTGTAAATAGCTCCTTAAATCTGAGCTTACTGTGTCTGTCACTCATAGCAGCCTGAACAGGAGGGCAAGAGGAAGAAATGGTAACTGCATAGTCTAGAAATCTGATTTTTAATATTGCAAGAAACTATCTCTTACCCAAACTAGAGGTAAAACTTGACAGTATGAGGGAGTCTGCTACGGGAAACCTATGTCTTAAATAAAAATAAACTGGAGGGATGGAAGTATGGCTCTCAGTAGGGTACTGGATTCAAATCTCAGCGCTTTTTAAAAGTTATTTCCTATTTGTTATCCTTCCCCCTGTTTTAGGTAGAAGATGTGTTACAGCGTTGTCGAGAATACTTGATTAAGAAAATTAATGCAGAGAACTGTGTTCGGTTGTTGAGTTTTGCTGACCTCTTCAGTTGTGAAGAATTAAAGCAAAGCGCTAAGAGAATGGTGGAGCACAAGTTCACTGCTGTGTACCACCAGGAGGCATTCATGCAGCTGTCCCACGATCTCCTGGTAGACATTCTCAGCAGTGACAATTTAAACGTAGAAAAGGAAGAGACAGTTCGAGAAGCTGCAATGCTGTGGCTAGAGTACAACACGGAGTCACGATCCCAGTATTTGTCTTCAGTTCTGAGCCAAATCAGAATTGATGCGCTTTCAGAAGTCACACAGAGAGCTTGGTTCCAAGGGCTCCCACCCAACGACAAATCTGTTGTGGTTCAAGGTCTTTATAAGTCCATGCCCAAGTTTTTCAAGCCGAGACTTGGGATGACTAAGGAGGAGATGATGATTTTCATTGAAGCATCATCAGAAAACCCTTGTAGTCTTTACTCTTCTGTCTGTTACAGCCCGCAGGCAGAAAAAGTTTACAAGTTATGCAGCCCGCCAGCTGATTTGCATAAGGTTGGGACAGTTGTAACCCCTGATAATGATATTTACATAGCAGGGGGCCAAGTGCCCCTGAAAAACACAAAAACAAATCACAGTAAGACAAGCAAACTGCAGACCGCCTTCAGAACTGTGAATTGCTTTTACTGGTTTGATGCACAACAAAATACCTGGTTTCCAAAGACACCGATGCTCTTCGTCCGTGTGAAGCCCTCTTTGGTTTGCTGTGAAGGTTACATCTATGCAATCGGAGGAGACAGTGTTGGTGGAGAACTTAATCGGAGGACTGTAGAAAGGTATGACACTGAGAAGGATGAGTGGACGATGGTGAGCCCTTTACCTTGTGCTTGGCAGTGGAGTGCAGCAGTTGTGGTCCATGACTGCATTTATGTGATGACATTAAACCTCATGTACTGTTACTTTCCCAGATCTGACTCTTGGGTAGAAATGGCCATGCGACAGACTAGCAGATCTTTTGCTTCAGCTGCGGCTTTTGGTGATAAAATTTTCTATATCGGAGGGTTGCATATTGCCACCAATTCTGGCATAAGACTCCCCTCTGGCACTGTAGATGGGTCTTCAGTAACTGTGGAAATTTATGATGTGAATAAAAATGAATGGAAAATGGCAGCCAACATCCCTGCTAAAAGGTACTCTGATCCCTGTGTTAGAGCTGTTGTGATCTCCAACTCCCTTTGTGTGTTTATGCGGGAAACCCACTTAAATGAACGAGCTAAATATGTCACTTACCAGTATGATTTAGAACTTGATCGGTGGACTCTGCGGCAACACATATCTGAACGTGTACTGTGGGACCTAGGGAGAGATTTTCGATGCGCTGTGGGGAAACTTTACCCATCCTGTCTTGAAGAATCTCCATGGAAGCCACCAACTTACCTTTTTTCACCAGATGGAACAGAGGAGTTTGAACTGGATGGAGAAATGGTTGCACTTCCCCCTGTATAGGGGAGTTGAAGGGGGGTGCACATGCCACACAGGTATATCCTTTGCTAAACCAGAGGATATAGAAGGACTAAATATGAGTACATAAAATTCTATCTTTGATACATTTTATTTTTATGGCCTACTTAATATTTGCATCAGTATAATATATATATCAGTGTGTCATACAGAAAGATATGCTTCTGTAATATGAAATAGGTTATTTGGTAATTGAGAGACTTTTATGTGTATCATGTGAGTGAGCATAGGAGTCTGGATTATCTAACATTGTTAGCCCTGTGTATGTACAGTCCAGAACTTCACTTGTAAAAGCAATTTTCTGTTCTTAGTGTGGTATATCAAAATTGTGCTGAGATTATTTTAGTATATGTATTGAATTCCCGTACTTCTAAAGTCCTGGAATACAGTTTTTCTAGTATAATTCAGCTGCACTTAACACTAATGTTCATGTTGGTATAGAAATGTCTTTGAAATCCTACACTATTGTTGAGGAAGATCTCCTATACGTCTATGGTATTACACAGGAAAGCTGTGACTGCAGGATCAGTCTCACTATTCTAGGTGCATGTACTTCTTCCCACTGACTTAGACTTGTCTATCTAGAATACAGGTTGTCCAGTCAGCTGGTCACTGACCGGGTGTGGACTTAAGTTGCTGGGCTTGCAAATGAATTGCTAGTCCCTCATTATGCGGGTCTGTGTGGAGCTTTAATCAGTAAATGTCTCCACTTTCTGTATTACATTAACGTTGGCTCATGCATATAACCACCTGCTGCTGATGTAGTTCTCCATCTTAAAAAGATTTAGAGTGGATTAACCAGGTCATTACATCTTAATTTAATAACGAGCATTACTGTAGAGTGATTGTGTGTAGGTATCTCTTAGGTGTGTTTTTTTAACCTGATGTGTGTATGTTTGGGGGGTAGGGTAGGAAGGTGAGCCGTGCAGGAGTCGTCTGCACTGACTGTACAGGAGAGCAGACACTAGCACTGCTCTGGCATTAATCCCAGGAACCACTAGCAGCTGTGGGGCGCCACCAATGCAGCATGAGCACGGGGGCCTCGTGACAAACACTGCTGGCATGTCCAACTGCATAATGCTCTGGCACTGTATTTTGAATGACATTAATTTATTAAATAAGTTGTATATAATCAGTATCTGGTTTGAGTCTTTCTTTCGTGGTGGGAATGCTCTAGCTGTGCTTTCAGTTGAGGTTTTGCTGGGCCAGCGTAGGCACTTGTGGATGGCTTCTTGAAAATCTGTTGGCTCTTAGAGATACCCAGAGGGACCGATGCCTTTCACTGCTGCTTCACTTCTGCAGTCCCCTATCCAACATCAGTTTTGGTTTGAAAATACTAAATAGAGTATCGTAGTAAGTTTAAAATTGATGCAAATAAGCTGCATGTTTGTACTGAATAAGATCTGTAACTGCAAGCCACTTAACCAACTCAGTTCAGGTTCACTAAGGCATGAAGGTACCACATTTAAGTAACTTACACCATCACAATTGCTGGTCTCCTGGCTTCTAATTTATGAGATAAGCTTTTATTATAAAGGTGTGTATAATAAAAGCATGTGAAGGATTTGATAGTATGCCCCGCTTGAGGTATAAGGGTCTTAGGATATGTCTGCAGATGAGAGAACTATTAGCATCATCTAATGTTCTAAAAGCTTGAGATGAGCAGGGCAGGGTTGCTTGGGTAAAGGGAAGTACTCGAGTGCCATTGGTGGACTTAAATAAATAAAGATTTGATAGATGAGCAGTCTTTGCAGAGGACATCATTGTCATGTTTACAAACTTTTAACGCAGTTGCTTACAAAGGAAGCAGACTCCCATAGTATTCTTAAAGTGCCAAGATTGAACCCAGGGGCCTACATACACTAGGCAAACATCCAGTCACTGAGATGCCACACCCCATTCCTTAACATATTTGAGGCCTATCTTAGGGTTTCTGTTGCTGTGGTAAAACACTGGGACCAAGAGCAACTTCCACTTAGAGTTTGTAAGTCTATTATGTAGGTAACTGAGGGCAGGAACTGAGGCAGATGCCATAAAGAGTGCTGCTCCTGGCTTTCTCAGTCTGCTTCCTACAACCCAGCATCACCCTCAGCACCACCCACAGTGAGCTGGCCCCTCCCACAACTAGCCCGTCAAGAAAATGCCCTACAGACCAATCTAGTTGGGGTATTTTCCCAATTGTGGTTCCCTTTTCCCAGATGACCAAGCACACCCATCATCTCTCGGAGAATAACAGTTTTCTAACGGCGTAGTGGTGCATGCCGTTAATCCCAGCAATGAGTTAAGAGGCTAGCCTGGTCTATGTAGTGCATTTCCAGACAGCCAGAGCTGCATGGAGAGATGCTAACTTAAAAACCAATTTTCTAAATTTTTGTTTTGGGGAACAATTTTTTGCCTACAATCTCTATACCATATAATTCATCTATTTAAAAGCACAGTTGAGTAGCTTTAAGAATATTTATAGAGCTGTAAGCCGGGTGTTGGTGGAGCACACCTTTTTTTTTTTTTTTTTTTTTTTGGTTTTGGTTTTACAAGACAAGGTTTCTTTGTTTTGTTTTGGAGGCTCTCCTGGAACTCACTTTGTAGACCAGGATGGCCTCGAACTCACAGAGATCCACCTGCCTCTGCCTCCCAAGTGCTGGGATTAAAGGCGTGTGCTCTCTGTATTGTTTTGGAGGCTGTCGGTCCAGCGAGTTCCACGACAGCCTCCAAAATAATACAGAGAAACCCTGTCTCGAAAAACCAAAAAAAAAAAGGGGTGTTTTCATGGTCCTCATTACACCAATCTCCCTCCAAAGGGCCCCTCACTGACCTTTCTCCACACTGAACAAGACTGCTTTTGCTCTGGATCTTTGTACTCTTAGAATAAAGCCAAAGTCTGTCTCCAGTTTCCAAGGCTTGAAGCATTGCTTCCACTTGATTTTCCAGCCTAGTTTCTTCTCTAAAGTACGTTGGCTCACTACGTCAAATGGTTTGCTTATTGGGCTTTATCTCTTCCATATAGTTTTCCTTGTTTTGTTTTGGTTTGTCTTAAACTCCAGCTAAATGTTAGATAATCAGATAACCAAATTAGTTGATGATTGCATTTACTTTCACTCCTCAAAATGTCCTGGTTTGGTTGGTAATTGTGTGGCAATACTGACTAAATTCAGTTTACCTATTGGGTAACTTCCTCAAAGAAGGCTTTTAAAAATCTTGTTTACTACCCTATCATTATAGCTCAGTGGTGAAGTGCTCACCCCCTACGCATATTTGAGGAGCCCTGAGTTTAATCTTCAGCACTGGGGGAGATGGTCTCCTACCTTTATTTGAATTTTGTTTTGTTTTGTTTTTACGAGACAGGGTTTCTCTGTATTGTTTTGGAGGCTGTTGGTCCAGACCGGCCTCGAACTCACAGAGATCTGCCTGCCTCTGCCTCTCGAGTGCTGGGACTTTATTTGAATTTTAAATGCACCACAAATTATCTAACATCAAGCTGTTATGATGGTTTGAGTTGTCTACAATCAAAATGGATTTGTATCTGACCTCGATATTTTGTGTTTTGAAATTGGAAATTACTACTGAGATGTGTCTGACAGTATGAAAAGAGGGTTCAAATTACCACTAGAAGAGCTGGCATTAAACAGAACAAAACTGGAGACTGGGAAGAGAAAGCAGTAGTTAGCACTGACTGCTCTTCCAGAGGATGTGAGTTTGAGTCCCAGCACCCATATGTTGACTCACAACTTCTATAACTCCAGGTCCAGGGGATCCAGGGACACACGTGGTGTACAAACATACACATGCAGAAAACAAAACAAAAACACCCCACACTTAAAAACATTAAAAACCCACAGTTTCTCACCGTATAGGAAGGAAATAGCCATAAAGTTTAATCCAGAAGTGAAAGGTTTGTTTAACATCTGAAAATCATAGAAAACATTAATGGTAAAAGAAAAATCATATGAGCCTGCTAATAATCACAGAAAAATAAGTTTACAAATCCAAGTCCATTTATGATAAAACTCAGCTTAATATGGACATGGTGGCACATGGCTGTAATCCCTACCAGGCAGAAGGCTCATGAGTATCAGGCCAGTCTTGGGTACAAGATTACAAAATGAGAAACTTTGTTTCAGGAACAAAGAAAAAAGTCCAAAACAAAATTTCAGCAAAGTTATAAATAGGAAATCTCTATAAGACAGCAATGGTTTGAAAGATTGAAAACTTTGCTATACTACCTTGACTTAAGAAAAAAATGGGGCTGGAGAGATGGCTCAGTGGTTAAGAGCTCTGGCTGCTCTTCTGGAGGACCTGGGTTCACTTCCCAGCAACCACATGGCAGCTCACAGCTGTAATTCCAGTTCTAGGATACTTGACACTCAATGCAGGCAAAACACCAATACATGTGAAAAAAAATAAGATTAAAAATAATAAAATCAGGAGCTATGTAGGTTGTCTACTCTGGCCTGCCATGTAGTTTAGAATGTTTCTCAGCCTGTGGGTCACGACCCCTTTGGGTGTCAAATGGCCCTTTCGCAGGGCTCGCTTCTCCTGAGACCATTGGGAAACATTCACAATTCAGAACAATAGCAACACTACAGTTATGAAGAAGCAATGAAAATAATTTTATGGTTGGAGTTACTACAACATGAGGAACTGTATTAAAAGGGTCATAGCATTGGGAAGGGTGACAACCATTGGTTTAGAGGAATCGTTTAAGAGGCTTTTTTGTTTTTCAAGTATGTGTATCTGTGTGAGGGCTTGTGCACATGTGCAGGTGCCCGAGGCCAGAGGGGGTCAGATCCGCTGGAGGTGGACTTACAGGAGGCTGTGACTGTGGCTGAGGGAGATGCTCAGCACTCTACTTGGGGCCTCTGCAAGGGCAGCAAGTGCTCTTCACCGCTGAGCCATCTCTGGCCCTACAGATGCATTTTGAAGTGACCATGGAAGAAAAGGAAATAGGAAATGCAAAGCTTGTAGATTAGAACTGAGGTAACATGATCGTAAGAAACCAGTCTCCTGGCTTGTCAGCCAGAAGATGGAGGGGGCTTCCTCTTTAGGGTGAGAGTGGAAGTTCCTGTGAACTCTGACAGTCAAGCTATTAGCAGTTCTAGAAAGTGTTCACAAGGCATCCAACCCACCAAAGTAGATCAGCAAGTTTGAGGTCAGCCTGGTTTACAGAACGAGTTCCAGGCCTATATAGAGAAACCCTGTTTTGAAAAATAAAAGCAAAGAAAGCAAAGTTCCCAGCATGCACAGCTGAAGGAGTCCCTGAGAGAGGTTTTTTTGTTTTGTTTTGTTTTTGTTTCTCTGTATTGTTTTGGAGGCTGTCGGTCCAGCCCAGCCTGGAACTCACAGAGATCCGCCTGCCTCTTCCTCCTGAGTGCTGGGATTAAAGACGTGCACCACCACCGCCCGGCTCCCTGAGAGAAGTTCTAACTGTAGACATGAGTCGCTCGTGGTCCTCTGGTAAGCACCACAGGTAAAAGAGGGCAGAGGGGAATCACCAGGTATTTTCCTGTGCCTGTACACAGATGGCTGGTGAGTCTGAGTTCTGGCTCCTGGAAGAGCACATCATAGTAACAGCGGAGAAAAACAACACAATTCCTTCCGCCTCCTGCATCTTGCCTGACTGTGCCTGACTCACAGGCCTGACAGAGGGAATGAAGCGGCTTCTGCCACCGCCTCTTCCCAGGAGGCGTCCTCACCCCCTCCACAGTCCGGCAAAGGGGCAAGTTCACCAGGACTGAAGCCGCCAGTGCCACAGACCCACACAAGCAGTTGCCGGCAGCAACAGTGCCTGCGAAAGCCCCCACACAGCAGGGACCAGCACAGCATCGTACCACACATACTCTTCTGTGTTCCCTACAGCTGTGTAGACTGCTAGTGTCCCTGCTCTTGTGACAGACACCTAGAATCTTTCATTCCTTGCCATAGAATCCACTGTGTCCAAACGTACCGGTCACAGACCTCTGCCTCTCACCCAAAGCTACTGATAGATACCTCAAGACACATCTAAGCAAGCCACTTACCTGAAAGGCCTTCCCAGGGCCAGCCAGATGGCTCAGCGTGTGCAAGTGTTTGCTACTCCGCATGCCTGATGACCCGAGATCAGTCTCAGGAACCCGTAGTGAAGGAGAGAACTGACTC